ATTACACTGCATGCAAAAATGTACAAGGGAGGTTTTTTCATGAATATTAATCAAAATTATCAATACATGACAATTTAATAAGGCAGTCTGCATGCAAGACTGTTTATGATTAGGTTAATGAAGACTTTTTCGAGTAAACCTTCTCAATTATTAGCTTATTGACTGTAATTTTCAGTAATTATATCAAAGACTACTAGTTTGTGTTTTTTCCTGCAGGGTTTGTTAACACTCTTGTCTACTTATTCTCACACCAAATCAGTCCACGTCACCAGCACCGGGCCATCAATCACCTCTCACATATACTGTGTAACAAATACTAAAGACACTGACACCTCGAGATTCAAGGAAAGCTTTTGCTTAAGAGACGCCTTCCACTGATACACATACACTGTTTTCAATGGATAAAAAGGAACAAAGAACAAGTCCATGCTAGAGATAGTGGTCACAATGCAAAGGCTTGCCCCCGAGTCACGACGTATATGGCAACAGTGGTCTAAGTCTGTGGAATTCCAACTGTCAAGTTTATGTGCAATCACATTGCTCAGTGTACCAGGGTTTATTACTTATTTAGGGATTGGAACAAAGACCAAAAAACATCTCTTTTTCTCTTAAAGGGGTTTTGTGGTAAAGATCTTCTACGAGTACTGTACCAAAACCAACCCACTTCACCTCATTGACGCCACTATACAGGATCTCCCTAACGTCCCAGTGACCTCCCGCTGACCAGCAGTCACTTTTTCACATCATCACTGCCCCCCGGGGAATTCTTTCCCAGGGAATGGGTATGTGGCAACATTGTTTCTGGCATTGATCCGTTTATTCATTCATTCATAAATGGTTTATTATAAGAAATCATGACTGCAGCCAATGACAGAATTATGCATGATTTACAATTTAAAAATCAATGAAACAATAAAAAAACAATTTATATATCTATACAATTACACTTAATCACAATTAATGATATTAAGATCATAAAAAAGTTTCAGTTGAAATTGATAAAACACAGAAAATACCAACACAAGGAGAGCTCAAAACAGTTGATTTGATGCTAAGTTTTACACCATCAAATGACAGCCAAAACAACCAAGATTCTATGAGACTATTCCGGATCCCTAGTAACTTGCATTGCATAAAAACGCCTTTAAAACACTAGTGACAGAAAGAGCGGCGATGGGCATGGAAACTGAATTTATCTCAGCACAGTTAATCACAAGCCATTCAAACAACTGACAAGGTGAGGCAAAGGGTTTCTTTTAAATTGCCGACTCCCTCAGATTTACTTCATTTTTTTGTTTGATCCAAATGATCCCTAAAGCGAATTGCTGGCCAACTCTCCCAATGTCTCTGCTGGCTTATCGGCTGGGTCCAACTCATCAATTCCACCGGGCTACCTGGCTGTCAAATCCCCCACCACCATCTCTTTAAAATGCTGCAGGCTAGCAATCACTGGTGACAACATCCAAGCCTAATAAAGCTTCATCACAACGAACTGGGTTCGTTCATGGTTCGAGATACATGCATTTGCGTTGTCATAAAATGAATACAGTACATAACTACAACAATACATGTATTTGTTTGTCTCTAGACAATCTATCGTGCTTCATCAATGTATCATACTGTGATGGATGCAAGTGCGCCCTCACTTGACAGGCGCCTTTTTCCCGCGCTCTCGGCGATGTCGCACAACCTTCCTGAGCTGAGCCGTTATTCTTGAAGGCAAAACTTCATTTCTTGTGCGTATTTTCAACAATACCTTGATACCCAGCTGTGCAGAATTTGTCAATATCCATCCAGGACTGGGTGAGTCCAGTTTATGAGTCATTGGGTGTAGGTTTTCTTTTATTTTTATTAGTAAAGTTCGGCTCTGGTTATATAAGATGTAAAGTTTGTATATCGCTGTACACGATATTCAGTGCGCCCACGTGCATGTACATGTGTGTCTATTGTTATGCACAAATTATTATGTGTAAAACAAAGTACATTTTGGTTCACTGTATTCAATATACAGGGTGTCTGTTTGTTTGTGTGCTGATGGTCATTACCATGGTCACCGACAATAAATAATGCTGTTTCCAGTCATGCTACACCTGTCTCTCGACTAAGTCACTGCTGTTTGCTGTCTCCAACTCCCGAGTCTGTCGTCGTGGTCCGACCAGGGATTCATTTCCCACCAGTTGAAGTCAACACTCCAACAACCCCAGGGGCTGCGCAAGTAGCTACCATTGCAATACAAAGGAGTAAATGATGTCTAGGCCTACTGACAATCGTATGCATGGATGTAGGCCTGAACAAAACTTCGCCGATCTTGGTCGATGACTTAAGGAATTCGACCTCCTTGTTTGTTCTCTCAGGACACAACTGAATTCGGCAAGACCAACTTCTCCAACTCCACCAGTGACCATTATTGCTGGACAACAGAATCAACAAACAACAGCAATCCTAGCACTACTGCCCGTAGTTCATCCAAGACTTCAACTTGCCATACCTCTACAGCTCAGCCTGGCAACGCTACCTATGGAGGTGTATTTGCCCCCCCCCCCACAATTGCACTGGTTATAGACCAAATTAAGGGCATTGCAAGAACCAACTTGCGGCCAGGTCATCCTGCGAAGCGGTGCCTTTGGAACTGTCCAGTTAAAAAACTTCCAAGGGACAAAAGTGGCCTTCAAATACATCAGATCAATGACAGACAGACTTCCCATCCTGAAGGAGACGAGGGCAATAGGCCTTCTTTCAGAGCATCCATCATTCCCTTTGTTCTTTGGCCTGGTAGTGGCTGGCCACCACCAAGGACTTGTAATGGAGCTCACTGGCAACTCCATTACTGGCCAGTCGCTGATCCTGGAGCAATCAGTCCATCGTTGTTGCTGGACAACAGAATTATCAACCATCAGCAAGATACCAACAGCAATCCCTTGCATCATGACATCAGACACTATCAACGCCGCCTAAACAACAACCCTAAAACATTGCCTAGCACGACTGCCCGTAGTTCATCAAGGACTTCAATTCGCCATTCCTCTACAGCTCAGGCTGGCAACGCTAGCTATGGAGGTGTTCTTGCCCCCGATAAATACAGTGGTTATGAGGACAGACCCAATTAAAGGCATTGCAAGAACCAACTTATGGCAAGGTCATTCTGCGAATCGGTGCCTTTGGAACTGTCCAGCTAGAAAACTTCCCAGGGACAAAAATGGCCATCAAATACATCAGATCAATGACAGACAGACTTCCCATCCTGAAGGAGGCGAAGACAATGGGCCTTCTTTCAGAGCATCCATCATTCCCTTTTTTCTTTGGCCTGGTAGTGGCTGGCCACCACCAAGGACTTGTAATGGAGTTCATTGGGAACTCCATTACTAGCCAGTCGCTGATCCTGGCGGATGCCCTAGAAGGGCCCAGCCATCTACGTCACTACACTATGTCAATGGCACTACATCAAGCCAGATGTGCTGGACGATCTACGATACATGCACGACAGGGGTCTCCTACTTCATAACGACCTAGGGACTGCTAACTTTTTGGTCCGTGATGTTGGGGTATCCTAGCGTAAGTGTTTTATTGACATGAGCTTAAGTACCCTGCAGAGCCATCCTCGGGTACACTACCTCACCCCAGCACAAAAGGTGCGATATCGGTTCTACCACGTGCACATTGCCCGGAGCTGGTGGAGAATGCAGCACCAGTGACCCAACTGAGTAATGTTTTCCAGTTGGGTCTCGTGCTGCATTCATTAGTCTCTGGGGCCGTGTGCCAGGCTTGGTTCAGCTGGGGGTATGGTGTGTAAGGCGGAACGCCCAGAAGCGGCCATCAACCACCATGATCGACCTCATGTTGGCTAGTATAGCCTAAAAACTTTCTTTAGATTCTCTACTAGAACTTCTTCCCAGACACAAAAACTGTACAAACTAAGAAGCATAAAGAGAAAGAACTGACTTAGTGTCTGAAAAGACATGGAACTGCCTTGAGGTCTGCAGGCAAACTAAATAATTCATATTGTGATGAGCGATTATTTTCAACATACGAAGGGCCTGACGTTTCAATCCTGGCAGAATCTTTCTCAAAATGACAAGCGATTATTTTGGTCGTTTAAAAAGAAAATATCTTTACAATTACTGCTTGTTCCTGACATTTACCCATTTTGAGCAAGGTCATTTTAATGGAAACAACATATGACTCGTGCTCATCTCGCGAAAAGTATAAATGTGAAGTCAGAAAAATAATTAGAAAGCGACACTGAAAATTTCATTTTCAGAGAGCGCCAAAGCACTTTGCTCAGTTGTTGAGCCCAATATCAGTTGGGTACAATCTAGTTTGAACTTCCTATTGGGGGGAACAACACGAATAATTGCTTTATTTGCAGTATGTAGTACTGCCAAAAAATGAGGGAGAATTTCATACATGTACTTTCTGTTACGTATGTGGTTCGGATAAGGTATCTTTACTGCTACATTTCTATTAATTCTCAGGAGCGCAAGTGAATTACTTGATTTCCAGTATGCACTACTGGTTAACAGTTATCGGGGGGTAGAGACAGATTTCTCTTCTTTGCATTGCGTATTGTTTAGGATGAGGTTACGCCCTCTCGAGATTGAAGCCGGTCAAATATAGTCCAACACTTAAAAGTTCAGAAATCATGATTTGAAAACGGCTGGCTGTCACCTCGCCAAAATGCTCCGATTCATAAAGTGAACAACTGAAACGCTGCATTTGATTTCCAAGTATACAAATTTCACGTCTCTGGACTGGTCATCGTACTTGTTTAAGATGTCCAGTTGGTTCTTAAATGTTTGCCAAAAAAATCCTAAATTTAGACAAACAGCCTTTAGGGTATTTTATCATAAAGTTGGAAAACGATTGTCTTTGGACTTTGCTTTTCTAATTTTTAACTTTAGCATTTTAAAAGTTTACGTTTACTGCTTACGTTGACGATTTTGCGNTGGCGTCACGTACCAGGTGAACTGAATGTGGCAGATGACATATCCAGGGGAATAGATATGAACCAGTTGAATCAGCAGTGGATGACTGGACCAGAATTCTTATACTTACCAGAGCAGAGTTGGCCCCATGATATCACCCGTGTTGACAATGACGAAGTTGACAAAGAACGCCGGAAGACGCAGCCTGTACTCATCATCACTAGTACACAAGATGCCATTGACTGTAAGAAATTTTCTTCATGGAGAAGATTGCTGAGAGTCACTGCCTATGTCTTGCGATTCGTCCACACCCTACAGGCGAAGAAGCAGAGTAATACCGACAAGGAGCCCGGAGGTCCACTCCTGCCTCGCGAGATATCAGAAGCCACAGACTACTGGCTGATTCAAGCACAAAAACCTCTACACCAGCGAGTGGCAAATGGAGAATTCAAGATGCTGAGCCCATTTACTGATGAACAGGGTATCCTGAGAGTTGGTGGCCGATTGAAAGAATCAATAATGACGTACAACAGGAAGCACCCGGCCCTACTTCCCCATGATCACCAATTTTCCCATCTGACAATGCGCAACATCCATGAAAGCGGCCACAATGGAGTAGCCACAACCGTAGCCAAGACAAGAGAGAACTATTGGATCCTGAAGGCGCACAGCTTGGCTAAGACAGTAAAGTACCGATGCGCACTCTGCCAGAGCTGGAGCACAGAGTTAAATCCCAAATGATGGCCGACTTGCCGAGACAGCGTTTGATGCCTCACACACTGCCGTTCTACATCACTTCATGCGATTACTTTGGGCCAATGCAGGTGCGTATCTCCCGCAACAAGACTTTCTAATCTGAGTTAGTCTGTCTGGCACTTTGCTCCCGGATGATCCATTAACAAAGAGAGTGGCCTCGGCGGTGCGTGAGCCAACTAGCCAGGAGCTTAGAATGAAGGCCAGTGGCCAATAGTGGGCACATTTTTCTGATTTCTTATAAGTTGGTGTCTACTTAGGAGTCCAGAGAACAGAAGGAGATCGACTGCTAAATTCAGGAGATGGAAAAGGTGAAGGAAGTCGACCAGATCAAGGGAGAAACACACGAGGAACGCAGCCGTTGTTGGAGAAACGACGAACGGGAAATTGCGAGAGGAGACAGATTGAACTCACCCAGGAAGAGCCACCAGAAGGCGGCGAGCAAATCACCTGAGGAGGCGTCCAAGGAAAACAATGTAAACTTAATCGACTTGTGGCTCTTATAAGAATAAATCGTGAAGGCTTTAAAAAATCAAGAGTTACTAAGATGTACTTATCTGAACGGGCTTTTTACTTGCAACATTAATTATATAACATTCGTGTATCTGGTACTTTTAAAATGTGTTCTAGTTGACGTACTGTGCATTCATCAAGAATTACAATTTTTGTGATAGTTTTTAAAAATGTTCTTCAAATGGATTGAATTGGCAAAATAAAACAAATCAAACCTGAAACTATTTTCTTTTGTCGTAGTACGCATTAAGTCAATAGAGTTCTTGGGTTTTTTCGCTGAATAAGGGACATGGTCTGTTATATTTTGTATACATGACCTGTAAGTCGTAGATGTATGAGTTTATAAGCCCCAGGAGGGAACCTTGTTCATCATTACAACTTCAAAGATATTGGTTCTCCAGTGCTGGTTTTATTGACTGATTAAGGAGTATAGATGAAAACATGTCATCCTAAATGAAAGACTTTTATGAATCTATGGACAGGTATCCCTTTCTCCATAGTTACACGTAGTACCTGCAGTGACGTGGTGACTTTGATGGGGGACGTGAAAAAGAGCACTTGATCAACATCCACGGTGAAAGGTGTATGTTTTCGCACTGGTCATCTGACCTCCAAAACAGGGAACGGAGTTGGTCAGAAACACTTTTTATAGTGGCACTCCAAAGCAAACAGTATCGGACAACAAAGCCGTAAAGTTTCTTAGGCAAAAGAAGAAAAGGGGTATAAAAAGGGAAACATTATGGGGGAAGGGCACTTGTTGCAAAAAGCTAGGGGTAAATATCCCCTTCTCCCGTGGATACTATGCCACTGACCCTGGAGGAGGGTTAGTCAAAAAGCTGAAGGCAAACTAAGCATCTCTTCATGGCGTGATTCCCACCAAGTGTTTCACTACATGCTGCCTGCTGTCTTATATGCTCTGTGAATTAAGATGAACCTGATTTGCTGCGGATGCATTCTTTGCCAGCAAAACTTGCATATTTGTTTCACTTGACCAACCAAATACTAACAAACTTCCAATGTTGCAAAAGATGCAATGTAGGGTTACAAATTTTAACCCTTAAATTGGAATCAGTTAGCGGCTTCAATTCTTTTCGATCAAATAACTGTACACATGGGCAGGGTGCCACAGCGGTACATGTCCCCCCCCACTAAATTCTGAATTGTGCAAAAAAAACTTGCAAGCCATAGTTCATCTTCTGGTGCCAATTAGATGAATGTGACCTCGGGTTCCCCTTGAAATTCATCCCGGTTATGCCACTGGGTATGACTGGCCACAAATACAATTAAAGGCAAAGCCAGAGTCGTGACCCATGATCAGAAAGATCAAGATAACTCCTTTGTAACTTAGGCCCAAGGCCCAGGCTTCATCTCTGTATGGATACTACTATGATCGATTAGATGACAGTACACGTATCCACTGCTGTATCAATTCCAACAAACCACCCTGCCAGCCCAAGGCATCAAGACTTGAATACCCGGTGGTCAAGCAGTAGCAGGAACTCGTGGTTAAAACCCCAACCAAACAAGTTTCAAGTCATAAAGTTTTCCACCAGCTCTCAGAATTTGAAAAAGCACTAAGCATACAGTGGACACAAAATAACAATAAGGGACAAAGTTACATAATTATCCCATCCCTCTGCCCAACCTTGTTGACACATATAACAACAAAATATCCTATTTACCCAACATCATTTACATGTATATGTATAATACTTTTAAGGTATGTATTGTATAATTTTTTAAGGAACTAACAAACAGTATTACCACTTGATCTTTGGTAAATCATTGAGGATTCTTTTCTGGACATTCGTATTTTGGAGAAAAACACCTATTTCACCCCCTCCACCCAAGACCTGGATATCCCATTGGTCAGAAGTTAGTAATCAACTTGTTTAGTTGCAACTTGCTACCTTTTTTCAGCTGAAACCTTTCATTTTAGGAACAAAGATTTACAAATAATGAATGACAGTATGGATTAGTAATTCAAAACGTAACTGCTTGAGGAGTATAGAAGAGGTGTCATTCCAATGACGAAGGTCATACAAATCTTATACATGTTCAAATTAGATTCAGGAGTGGGACTCGCCTTCCACTTGGTTTAGGAAAGTGCCCATGATATCTTGTTTTGAAGAGTAAGGATTTTCTGGCCCAGAATACAGGGATAAATCCCCAAGTGGATAGCAGGGGTGTTCTCTCTTTGAAGACATGGCAGCACTCAAGGGGATCCCACAGTGCAGTCACAGTGCAGGGCAGTTGGTGGTGATAAAGCACTTAACTACATAGATAATGTTTGACTAGGTATTTGACAGTAGAAACAATGGGAAAGGAAACATCAGTGAGCAATGGACTTACTTCCTAATCATGTTTCAACAAGCATTGTGATAGCGGTGACATCTCAAGACTAGCCTCCAATACCAGCAGCTTTGACATTACTTTTCTTGCTTCCTCCAAGCGTCCCAACTTTGTCAGCAATAAAGTGTAGTTATACATGACGTCACTGTCATCTGTGAGTTAAAGATTATAATCAGGATTTTAAAAAATGGTAAAATTCATGAGATGAAAAGTTGCAAAAATGTGTTTCAAAGAGTTTAAAGTCCACATATTTTCAATGAAATTGCTGGGTTTTTTTTATGGGCACAACAAAAGTTGGTCATTTGTCCCAAAGTGAGTGTGTTCCGAGACGATGATCTGCTGACATAAAGTACTGGTGAATCAGCTTCAGTTTCAACCTTCAATGGAGGAGGGGGAATCTCTGGACTTAGAACCCGTTGTGAGGTAATATCAATCTTTCCAACTGCCAAAATGGACAACCACAGACATACATATACACAATGTAAAGTTAAGGCCATACAATTGCATACATGTACATTTGTACACATGATTCACTGGATCGTGGAGAGCACCCCCATGTTTCATGAGCCCAGCCCTACAACGCTACAGATTGGTGCACATCCTGACAAAAATCTGTTATGCATTCTTCCTGCCTCAGAGGCAAGCTACAGTGCATGCACTATGACCATATTCCATACATGTCTTCATTGATGAGCAACAACACTATTACTATCTGTTGTTCCTACACTCTTCTCAGGTAACTTTACCTGGACAACATTGGGTGCCCAAAACCAGCATGTGAAGAGCCTCTGAATGCTTCTTCTGGCCTATCAGAATCATCGCTTTGTTGCTATAAGCTTTTGCTTTCATTTCCAGTAGACCTTCCATTATTGGCTGTGGCTTTCTTGTTTCTTTTGGTGTACGAGTAGGGGCAAAGGTCGTCTCTTTATTTTCTGAAAGAAAATAACATCTCTATACATTGTATTTTATACACATTTTTTTCAGTGCAAAGCATTGGCATGCCACTGGGAAGTCACATGACATTTCCAAGTTCCACTGGACTTTTCACACTTTTTTTTCTAGGAAATCAGAAATGAAGAAATCAGAAGATTCACACAAAGTTGCACGCTGGAATGAATGCTCAGTGCTTAAAGAGCTTGCCAGAAAATAATGTCTACATGTACTTGCAAACCACCTGTAGCCAAAGGCTCTTCCCCACAAGTGCAGACACCCTCCCCACTAAACCAAGGGCATGCCACGAATGACACAAACAGGCAGATCAAGGTCGAAGGGGACAGGTTTACCCGAGTCATTACGTTTCAATAGTGTCCTCAACAGCTTTCTCCACACTTAGAATAACCAGCTATTAAATGAATGATGTCCATGAAATAAGGTCATTTTTCAAGATATGGCAGACCCTTTGTCTTGTGTGCAAGACACTTGATTGTTTGAAATGATAATGTGAAGACAAGTTTCAACGACTAACCTGTTTAAATATTAGCTCACAGTGTACACAACTAGTTGGAAAAAATACACTAACTTTTGGGGTACCGTGAACCGTGTCATATTTTGAAGTACACCGTCTTAAATTGTGGCACAATCTGACCTCTTAATTTGGACAAATTCCCATTCTGCCTACGTGACACTGAAGTAACATGAATCTCCATGTTGTTGCGTATAAATGCTGCCGACAAACTTATTCAACTCATCCATGGATTGGCCCACCTCACTGATTTTAGTGACCATCTCGGGCTCTTCTATTGAATTTTAGTACCTCATACTTAAATTTGACAAATATGGAAGGAAAAAGCAACGTAACATACGTATTTTGAGAAAGATAAGTTTCAAATTGTTCAGAATGATAAACAGGGACATAAACTACAAGATCAATTTATATTTGGAATAACTATACTAAATGACTAAATAGAATTTATTTTAGGACTTTTGAAAACACTCGCTTTTGTTTTAAGCATTTAAATGTTGGCAAAATTTATTTGACCACCTGACACAAATCAGTGCCTCAGGGGAAACCCTACTCCCCATAAATCCAAATTGGAAGAAGAAACCAGTTGAATGAGTTCATGATAACACCCACCGTGTGTTGATTCAATCTTCCTCTTTTTACTCACTGGCTGCTCACCATCACTTCCACTCTCCATATTAATTTCTATCCCCCTGGAGCAAGATCCAATCTCATCTGTCTGATCTTCAGTGCTTGCCACATCCGACAGATAGACGAGTAACTCGTTGGTGATGTCTAAAGCCTGGGCCAATTCTTTTGACAGGATGAGGCAGTTGGATTTCAGCAGGAGAGCATTGGCAATCAAGAGTCTTTCGGCAGATTCTTGAGAATTCTCCCTTTCTCCAGGTCGGCGTCTCCTGGCCAATGTTAATATTTTCAGAGATGGCACTTTATAAGAAATTTTGGATGCCAGCTTCAGACAGGAATCAATTGAGGTTCTCCTTGCTGATTTTCCTGGACCGACTCCACTGCACGACGGTACAGCAACCACAACGTCTAGCTCCTCAACTCCTGAACTGTTGCCACGGAAACTGGGCCCAGGAAACACATCATCGCTCATTCTAGGCTGACCATGTTGTCTTCCAGCATCTTCACCAGCTCCGCTGCCTGAGGCTGAGTCAGATGTTCTAGTCTTGTGTCCAACCTTAGGACCCATTTTGGTAATGATTCTGTCAGTGATTTTGAGTGACTGTTTGATGTCATTAGCATTGTACAAAGACAATGCAGTCTCCAGATAGATTGTGTGCAATGAAGGGAGAGAAATAGAATCTTCTTGATGGACCTGTGGAAGCTTAGATAAAAAATTGAAAGTACTACATGTTCATCAAGATTGAAATGATTTCTAATCAACTATTTTTCTACATTTCTAAATCTGATCTTCTGATGGAACTTCTGATGGACTGATGGAATTTCGTCATACATTTCAGAGTGAGAAACAGAAATGACTGCCTATTCACACAATAGGCCAACTGGATAAAGTTGCATTAAACAAACAATTATACCTTGATTAACGATGAGGAGTCATTCTCAATAAAACTAAGAAGTTCTTGGTACCTATTTACCGCATCACTATGTCTGGAGGGATAAAAACAAATTGAATTTTAATGTTGGCTGTAATAGTTTCGTGGCACTTGGTGTTGAGGTTCTCAAAGCCATTTTATAACTTCATAAACTAATGAAATCCAAGATTTCTCCACACAATAATGTTTTCAACACACACACTGGTTACAGCTTGTGACAACCTTAAAAAAGCAAACAAGATATTCATTGAGAAACTTAATGAGGAGCTGTTATTTGTCTACACAAAATACTTGAAAAGAGTGACAATATGAGCTTATTACCTCCAGAGTACCACACTACTGATTAATAATGAAACTAAAATAACTTCTCAAGCTTAAATAATGGAGATTTGTACACATCTACCAGTCCTCACCTGTCTAGTCCCAAATACCTCCTTGCCAGCCTATACAAGATAACGACAACACTAAGGCTCTGCTCATCCATGCTGTAGATGCCACTCTGCTCATCTGCAGTTGCAGTTGACAAAGCTTGTGATCCCAGAATTACATCACACGCTGAGGGATGAGTGGCTTTTGTATCTTTGTCTCTAAGGATCTAAAATACACCAAACAGAAGACGAGCATTATGTATTGGAGAATATACAGTATCTAGTGAACTTATTTGCTAAAAGGAAAACAGCTGTCTAAGAATGATTCCACTTCTTCAAATGACCAGTATATCAAACCACTTTCAGATTCTCTTTTCCAGCCTTAAATGATGTTTTAGTGATGCCAACAATTCAGATGTTCACCTCATGTTAACTGCATAGTTCACTGCAATGTATCTGCCTCACATTACACAAACTGCCAGTTAAGGTTGTCATTTAACATTTTCATGGGACCTATATCCACCACTTTGTACTAGCTCAGACCTGTCAGTGACAGTTGGATGGTAAGATCTGGTGTTAAACTTGGAAATGTTGCAACTACAAAAGTGATTTGACAAACCAACTAGGTCCAAAACATTCAAATTGAAGACTACTTTAAACTGAAATACTGCCTCAGATAGTACAACCAAATGAACTGTTCGTGCAAATGGGGCGTTAGCGTCAGGACAATCTTCAGGTTTTTATAGGCCAAATTTTCAGTTAAATCTTCACATCCCTGCTACATCTGCCAATGAATGACATACACATGGGTTGGGGCATGCAATTAAGAAGCAACAGCGGCAGAATGATTCAAGTTTCGAATAAAATAAAACAGTCTGTTTCTTACTTTGATAAGAAGGTCAAGTGCCTCCATTTCAGCATCTTGAAGTCCTAGATGTTGGTAGACTAGGGTGATATTGTACAAGGGGCAAAGGTAGCTGAAGTCCATCTTCAAGGCTTCTTGGAACTTCTGTATTGCTGTGTAAGGTTTCTTCTACAAAAAGACATTTGCATTTACAGTGCTAGTGTAGTAGGAATTAGGAGTGTGCTTCTAGATTGAAATTGGCCTTGGTACCCATTTCTGCAAAATTTGAGCGACAGTCAAAGTAACAGTGGAGGGTTTCCTGCTATGAAACAGTACTCATGGAACTGGGAATGGACTTGCCATTTTCGGACAAACTTCGGGATCTGGGAGCAGCCCTAGTGCACATGTGATCTACTGCTTGAGACTTCATGAGGGTTTATTTTCAAAGTTAGACACGCTTCAACGATGCAATTGAGAGCTTATGTGCATTTCAAATTATGTAACCTGCAAGTCCTACATGGACATGCATATCATCAAAGTGGAGTTGAAAAACCTAAATTCTAACATCGGGAATGAATGTTGAAATGTTTTCTACAATTGGCACTCCATACAGCACCTGACGGTGTCAGTTGATTTTTAGTCAATTAGACCGATGGTGGAAACGTAAAACAGTATTTATTGGGAAAATTTGATCTGACATCAAAAACTCTTGTTTATGCTAACTTTTACACTAAGTAAAGACTGGTCGTTCAAAGTACATTCCAAATGGGAGCATATTGAAGATATAAAATGTGGCATGCTCTCATCCAACGTTTTTGATAAGAACTAAAGCCAAAGTAAAGCACGCACAATAGTCTGTCCTATCAGAGCAGCCATACTCCAACCCACACGCGCACCTTGTTCATGAAAGACAATGCCTTGCTGAAATACCAAACTGGTTACATAATGGAAGAAATAGGAATTGGTAGACCCAAGTATTCAGATGCCCATTTATGTGAAAGTTCGAGTTTTTATGGTAGTTTCTTTTTATAGTGATAGCATGTTGTGTGATTCAATGCTGGTTATAAAGCAGAAGTTCGATTGTTGATTCTCGTGGACTTAAAACACATTTAACTTAATGTACAAATCCTTGAGCAAAATGCCACCATGGTTAAAATTTGGGCTTTAATCAATGAAGTTTCTAGCTGATACAAGTTAGTGTACCAAGAAACAAAACAGAAGGCCAAACAGCAAATGAAAATGAAAGAAATTCTAAAATGACTTGCCAGGTTTGCTAAGCAGCAGCCAATGAGGTTGATCGTTTTAACTTTCAATGTGACATCAAAATCTGGGCTTTCAGCTAATGGTGCCAAATGTTCCAGCGCTGATTTAAAATTGCCTGTCTGAAACAAGCTGTATCCTGGAAACAAAATAAACCAACACCAAAAACATGATATCCTGCTACAAAAGGGAAAAAATGATTTCAATCATTCAGGGAAAAAAAATGAAGTATCAATAACATGGTTAAAGATTTAAATCTCTTCAGATTTTGCAAGAGTTTGGTTTTGAAACTGTTGGGTGTGTCTGTGCTTTATGAACTTATTTCTATTCTCTTGGTTTCCATAAACCTTTCCGATGGTGTATAACAATCCATAGAAACATAAATTGACCACTACTATTTACGTGCACATGCCCTGTAAACATTTTTAGTTACTTTTACAGTGAAAAAGTTTAAAAGAAGGGCAGAAAGAGGCTTTGTGCCTCTTGTGACCTTCAGAAAGGGCTCGCATTGTCTCCCCACTGGTATGCTGATCTTTGAGCTTTACCTTGGATGAGTTTTTGAGTTGAGTCAAGGGAACTGGGTAATCTTGGCTCCTTTGTGCTGATATGATGCAAGCAGTCATTCCACTGGCCAGTTTGAAACAAGCCGGTGACCAATAAGAATTGGGCAAGATCTCCAACACTGAGTGTTGAACCTTTGACAGAGAAAGTAGCAAAGCCCAAGATATTGAATTAAAAATGTTTATATTTTCCATAGCAAGGATCAAACAGAGAAACACATCATATAACAGGCAATAAAAGCTTGAAAATTCCAGGACTGAATTATTCAGTAAAAACAAAAGTGGCCCACTCTGTGAAAATGAGTCTTAAGTCGCCAGAGCCACTTTGGAGTAAAAGGTACTTTAGAATAACTTTGCAGAGTATAAATCGATAGGAACCCACAGCATTATTCTCCATGGAGTATCCACTGTCATCAGGATGCCAAACTGAGTGATTTATAAAACAAAAAACTCAATTTGTACTTTCCGATGCAACTGAAAACTCAAAAAGTTGCTCTGGTGACTTGAGACTCATTTTCACAGAGTGCATCACAAATTAGAGTACGGAGTAAGGTGACAATGAAAACAGAGACAGAGCTGCAATTTTTGGAGAAAAAGGACATGGAAATTTATTGACAGTACTTACTGTTACGTTGTATTTGACTGATATCCACTACAGCGTTACCAACTTGAAGACTCATCATTAAACACTGTGACGGTGTCTGAGAAAACGATGATCATAAAAGGACATACATGTATATGGGATGTTCATAAGGGACTGCACCTGTACATGCACATAACAGGAAATGTGAATCTCAGCAAACCAGTCCTGTTTGAAAGTCAAATATGGTATCTAGCACCCCCCCTAAAAATAGTACTGTTTTATGGCAGAGGATATTGCTGACTAAAATCTTAAGGATAGCCTACATACATGTATATTGTGCTAGTAGAAACTAGTACATGTACATGTATCATAATTGCTATCACAAACTAAAATGAAATTACTATGTGCAGACAATTGTGAAAACTGTCCAATAAGTTTAGTTTCATAAACTGACTTTTGAGTGTGTGTGTGCACATTGCCAACACTGGCAAGTCAAACAATAAGCTTTACGTTCAAGAACTGACGCAATGAATGCGTCGGGGAATGCTTTGTCATACTTGCATCTTGAATACTGATTTTTCACTGACCAGGGTGACATAACCGCATGTCACACTTACAATTAGAGATCATATCAGCAAGCATTGCATGATCTCATAGCATACCCACACACACTCCCACACTTAAGCGACTGCTAATAGTTGATGTTCACAGATTCCTTTGTCACCTTTAATATCAAGTGAAAAACATCAAAACAGAGATGTGACAAAGCAGTCACTGACTGCTGTGATGTGAGATATGACCTTTTAAACACCTTCAGATTCACATACTGTAGCACCCTCAGCTCACGCCTTAAGGTCACTATGAACACTCTCTCATCTTCTCCCTGACAATCTTTGGAAGTTTCAACTCTCCACATGTCGCTACATGTACTAGCCTAGTTCAAAAACACAATTGTAGTACACTCCCAATGTGTAACAGTCACCCCACGCTCACCCTCTGTCTGTCATCTTGGCTCTGCCTGGGCTGAATCTTCAAAGCCTCATGCAGCAAGCTAAGTGCATTTTGGTATTGCTTGTTGATCATGTGACCAAGACTTAACACACAGCAATGCAGGGACACCAGCGAGATCACGTCTGAGGGTACTGTGGCAAGAGCAAGTCAAGGGAATTGATACAATGCCTCTCCATTAAAACGTGTAAGATTGGAAAGGTCACACCAACTAATTCCAGACACATTGAATCATATCCCATTTGTACATGTACATTTAGGTTCATTGTTCACATAGAAATACATGTAACTTGTTCATAATCAGAAAGTAGTAAAAGACAGCAACAACAGAGAGAGAAATCAAGACTATGTACAACAAACCAATTAATGAACCTCATGAGAGACTTTGAGAGACACCTTGAGACCAACTGACCTACATGTATTAACTGATGAACACGACAGACTGACCCACCAACTGATGATTGATTGATCAATCAGTCGATTGGTCCCCTGATCAATCAATAAAGTGTCTTTCTTTCTTAAGGTACCCACGGACACAGTACATGGTGAGTAGCTTGCAAGGTGTTTTGCTGTGTTTGAACTCTATCACAGTGTGGTATACAGTATAACATTTTGGAAGACAAGAAAAGTCCAACAGCCATGACATGCGTTCTCTTGGACACTGAAAATTGGGAGGTGTTTGAACAGTTCAATTTCATGAGGGACAATCAACACTTTTGATTGATGCCATTTCCTACTTCTAGCCTCGCTTCATCAGCCAACTTATAGGCTACCTCAGTTGGTGCTGGTAATAAGCAGGTAATTGGATAATGGCACACTCTTCATCAGTTGGTGTGAACCCACATCCTAGAATAAGACCCTCAGACAGGTCAGCCCAAACTATTAATAACCCTTCCCATGTGCTCAATACACAGTACCTGGGTGATATGGGCATTAAGTGCATTGGGAGCATGAAAAAAGCCCACAAAACAAAACTCTGGGTCCACTGACTGAAACTTCAAAATAGATGTACATGTGTTTATATTCATGCCAAATTTCAACAAAATTGGTTATGGGATCGCTGAGTTCTTTGAGGAGACAGAATCTGTCTCCCCTTCCTGAAAAAAAAATGGCTTCTTAGGGTTAAACCTGAAGACAACAACTTACCCAAATGAGCAAAACTGGCGATGCATCTCAGGAGTTTTTCAATGTCTGGTGTGGATTCTATAGAACCCATGGCACAGCAAACTATTTGCAAAACCCAAGAAGTTTGGATGACTAAAAATTGTTGATGAATTACAGAGGAGTCAAAACCAATCCCACAGGATGACGTTTCAAACAATACACTATTCAATCCCACAAGGAAAGAAGCATGGCAAAATGTTTCAGAAAAAGGTTCCAAAGCTCTTTGTAGGGACAGTAAATGCCAAGCTTACGTTTTGAAGATGAGAAGATGCCAGCAGAGCATTCTTCAGTGTTTCTCTGTCCAAAAATACTGGCTATTTAAACATCTCTGTCAAAAACCCAGTTGGACACAGCTTATTGACAGTAGCACTTCTCCAAAAGAGGAAATATGATCTTTTATTCTTTATCTATTTCATTTCATGTACAAAGACATGATGAGACTTTGGGCACTGAATAGTCAAAAGTTTTGTGATGCTGGCGCCTCACCTCTTTGCAAGGTTGCAGTGGCAATCTCCTGAATCTGACTCCAACTCACTGAAACAGGATGAGTTGCCTGACCAGTCTGGCTCAAACTGGTCTGAACTGCTTCAATCTGGTACATCTGCTGAAGGAGCAATGCAGATGTGTTGAAGGTGATGATCAACTCAACTGGAAGTGCTTTCAGAGACGGAGGTAAACCTGTACCAAAAAGGGGGAAATGAAAGAGAATTTTACCCAGGCACATTACATTCAGAAATGTTTCCTGCATAAGCCCCAATCACAATTCTGTGGCTACACATGCTGCTCAGTTCAGACATTTTTCTGTTCAATTGTGAATCCAAAGTTGGCTAACTGAAACTATGGCCCTTTTCCAACACTCGACTCGGGCTCCATCCCAGGCTTCGTTTCCAAAACCAATCCCCGATTGTGGGCCTGAAGCGTTTAAATTAAATTGGATTACTGTAATTTCTGGCTCTCTTGCATCTCATTTGATGTTTTGTGGCATTATTAGACTAATTACTGCGCTTACAGCTTCAATGTCAGCTAGTTAAAAAACAGTTGAAGCCTGAGATGGAGCCGAAGTTGAGTACTAGAAAACGGCCTATTTCTGAGAAAGGGATGTTCACTGGTTAACTGGCCATGTTCTTACACCAATACACACTGAAATACCGACTACCATGTACACTGAGGGCAATCAAGAGAGAAAAATCCAGGATTTTCATCAGGGTGCAAATCAATGCAACTTTGAGGTTTTTCTTTGTGGAATGGCATCGCGGTTTTGCTCATGAATATGGACATTTGCATTAACATAAAACCAAAAAGGTTTGAAGATAGAAAAGCAAACATTGAAAAGAACATTATTGAAAACACCGAGCTCTTTCAAAGATTGTAGTGAAATATACTGCAGTGTATTGTATCTGAAAACCAGTGCTGTAGGGAGAAAATTAAAATGAAGAGCCACTGGCTCCTAGAAAAGAAATTTGTAGGCGCCAGGCTGATTTTTGTACGTACAGCTGTACTGTACACACATTTTCAAAATACACAAGTTACATGTACAAAATCTGACAAAACACACACAAACATTATTCTGTCAATCATCCGCAGGACCGACAGGCTTTGGTTTTGTGCTTGTGGAATAAATAAAAAATGGCAACTAATTATATGAAAAAAAACACAGCTGCAAGAAAAGACAAGGCATGTTTGTTCTTTTACTTTTGAGTATTTCGTATCTTACATGTAGGACCGGACCAGGGGAAGCTTGACGCCTTTTGGTTTCAAACTTACATTTTGGACTGAAACAAGTTTATTGCACTGGAATTGTGGCGTGCAAAGTCTGCTAGTGCATCTAATGAATACGGAAGATGTCTTGGCTCCTCATACACACTCTATACATCGTGCAACCACAAACCAGTCAATTCGGGTACATAGTACCTGTATGTGCGTGTACATGTATGTACCTACATGCAAGCTACGTTGCAGTTTAACATGGGCTCATGCTGTGCACATGGTAAGACGGAAAAAAACCTTAGAGACACATTGCTCGGTATAATGCACGTACGTGTAAAAGAAAACTGGGCTGCGATTGTTTGTGAAATATGATTGACGAGGTGGGCGACTAACGGGCACAAATCATGGTCGCCATGGCGATAAGAATTAAACATTTGGTCCCCTTTCATCATTTTTTTAGCGCAAATGCGACTGTTTTGGTCGCACAGTACAGTGCTGCTGTAAACACATGCCAACCAGTTAATTTTTTTACCAATAACCACATTTACATATACATGTACATATCAATGTTCTTTTGAGAATTTGAGTAGACTTCACAGCACCATTCTGTTTGCTATACATGTGGGTCATTCCATGAGGTTGGGGCACAATTTGTGATGGTGTCCTTGATACATGGGTAGCTTTTACCGTCTGTCATGACCAGTGGAGTAGGTCATTTACTCTGTAAAAATGGCACACACCTCTCTATTCAGCCATGCAAGATGTATAATTTGGAATCCACATGCAGGGAAAAAGCTGTCCATTTTTACGGAGCCCATGTAACAATGGACACTGTCACAAATTGTGCCCCAACCTCAAGGAATGACCCATGTACATGTACATGTAGCCTGCCAGCTCACATCTTATGAATAAGCATGACACAAAGGGCAGAGGTTTATGTGCAGTTAGTAACATGCACGTTTGCTGCACATGCTTTGATTTCCTTAATACGGCTGTTTCACAATAGTGCGCCACCAAGAGTTTGCAACGCATTGGCCAATTACAATGCGCGAAATTTGTCGACCCAATGCGTGTTTGGAAAGGGTCAACAAATTTCGCGCGTTTTGATTGGCCAACACATTGCAAACTCTTGGTGGCGCACTATTGTGAATTGCCCATATTTGTTGTCCACTTTTCACCACCCCAGGGAATATCACATGGCACAGAGTCCCGTCAATTATCATGCACATCTACAAGCTAATCATGTGTTACCTTGTATCATCTTTGACACCTTGGTCAATCTGTTAACCATCTCAGAGATCATCAGTCTCTCGTCTTTCACTGATCCTTCCTGCAAAATCAAAGTCAATGAAGCTGTTGGACAGCCATGTCAAGGCACAGACAGACTCTTTAAACTCAGTTATTTACAATTTCAGCAGTAGGCTGCCAAGTTTAAGTTTTTTACTTTTGGGATTATAAGGCCATAATTTCACAAAACATCTGCAAACTGCAAGTTTATGTACATGTATGAATTGAAATGGGAAAGAGTTCCATACACTGACATCATTTTGACACCCTGTTACACAAAACCATATGGCATTGGTCTGAAAATTCCTATTGTTTTGTTATTAGTAAACACTTAAGTATTTTCCCCCTAGGCCATGTAAAAAAAAAAGTTAGTGATCATCCCCACCTGACCCTCCAAAATGCCTCTGACCCATCTTTATTTTTTAATTTTTCAAAAAATGGGGGGGAATGTAAACAAAAAGTGCCAAAAAATTACACAAGAAACGATCCCAAGCTTACCCTTCCATCTGAGAATTTGCGCATTCCACCTTTTTTTTTCACTAGTGACCTCCCACCTACCCTCTCTTTATGGGCATAAAGGATGATCACCAATTTTTTTTTTACATAGCATACATGTACACTCGACATTTTAGGGCGTTGTCACTTCCTGATGGCTGATTTACCACTGTAGGGAAACAAGATTTCCAGAAAACTACATGTACCATTTTTGGAGGCCATACATGTATGCTCGTAGTAACTCACAACCGAATTTACTTGGCTGTGGCTGATTCTTGATATCACCTACCGAAGTCATATACCAGTGCCAGCAGCCATTTTCTATATCAATGTGCATTACTGCCGGTCGTAGTTTAATAACTCAGACGTGGCTTACTGTCACTGAAACAAACATATGGCGCATTAGACACATTACAAACAGGAGTGACGTTCTCCTCCAAATGCATTGGTAACGAGAAGTCTATGCTTGTTTGAAAACAGAGCATAGAGCTTTTCTGTATTTTGACTGTTTTTGAGGAAAGAGAATAGGGCTTTAAAGAATGGCCCTTTAATGTCACGTGACTTTTCAACTCATGACGTCATCATTACAAGATATACCTGTATTTTTCGTCTAGAACACTTCTCTTCCTAGCTATCTGCACAGTTTCAACCCGATGATGAGAAATGAACTTCAGGAGATATGGGTCTTTTAAGAGAGCACCTTTAAGGTCATGTGACTTGGCACCTGACGACATCATCATCATCACATGAGGCCTGTTTTCATCTTTGATACATCCCTTTCAAAATATCTGCAAAGTTTTAACACAATTGGACATGTACTTCAGGGGATATACATAGGCCTCTGAAATTTGCACCTTGAATGCCATGTCACGTGACACGTGGTGACATCATGATGATGATTTTTTTCTTGGACCCTGTCTAGCCTGAGGACAGAGTGTGGGCCTAATACAATGTGTATGTATTGATTCAGATCAATAAAGGTCTTAGTCTTTCTGTAGAAAACGCGTACAAAAATATTGAAAAAATATAAAATATTTCAAATTCCATAATAAATCAGGTGATGACATCATTATGACATCATGTTTCGGAAAAGACCTTTGCTATAAGTTACCTAAGCCTGTAAAGTTTCATGTCAAGTCATAATTATGATTTTGTTCAATGCCCATAGGGGTGACGAGAAGAAGTGCTGGAAGACCAAGAAGAAAAAAAAATTAAAAATTGAAAAAGAAAAATAAGTAAAAAAAAAGCCTTTTCAGCGAAGCGCACTACATGTACATGTATGTGGAAAAGCCAATAATGAGGGAAAGCAAATATATGTACATGTCAGCCACCCAACTTTCCTAACAACAAACAAGGCAATGCTTCCCTTGCTGATGGGGTTTTCAAATGGAACAGATCTTGACTATTATTATTTATGCGGCATCCAGAACAATAACATGAACAACAGTTAAAGACAAAGACAAACAATGCCTGCACCAAAGGCTGCAGTAGATGCCAGAAGAAAAAGTCAACTCATGGAGGAATAAAAAACACATTTTCCTCCATAAGCCTTATTGCAAATACTGCATGGGTGATTTTGCACAATGGTAGAAAGGCATTGTGGTAAAGAAAAAAGGGGCAATGTCAATGGCAGAAAGGCCTTTCTACCATTGTGCAAAATCACCCATGCAGTATTTGCGATAAGGCTGTAGGGCCATACCCCACCCTGCCCACCGGCCTCCTCCTCCAACAAAATGAATTTTGTCAACCTTTTACTGCACTTGCAAGTGACAAGTGTGGGTCCCAGGGTACCGTCCTAGTCCCCTAGACCTACTTTTACAAAGTTTAGTTTCAATAGGCAAGAACTGAGGCTAGGGCCATGGAGGCTAGAGGGCCTAGGCCGTAGGCTAGGGCCTATCTCACAGTGTAGGCTATGTATTCTATCATCATTTTTTAAGCTAGCCCCACTGGTGCGGCACGGACTCTCCTCCCGAAGGATGGATCGGGAGTGAGAGTACGTGCCACACTAGTCCTGGTGGGGCTATGTTTAAGCCAGCTAGTTGCCTCAAGTCAAGGTCTAACCTTGCATGTACAGACAATCACGTTATTTTCCACAAGACACTGAGCAACCACTGACTTCGCCCATTTATCATCAGCCGATATCTTCGCCAGCATCGATCGACAATCAGCATATTTACCAAGGAAAAAACTTTCCACCACATCGTTCAAACTCCGTGCACTCTCCATCTTCACGCGCGCTGAAAATCAAATTGCGCCCTCTCTTGGTATAGTTCTATGTGCTCTCCTTGTATTTGTACACGATGGAAATTGTGGAGGACGAAAAGTGGCCATCTGCTTTTCTGCCTTCCAAGGGCTGTGAACGGGGTCGTGAACATCAGGTTATGACCATTTCCTTTCTTGGGGATTGAAGACGTATAAACTAATAATTACAGTCCACCCTATCTTTTATGGTGAAAGATTCACACGTTTTCCACGTTTTCCTTGGCCCAAGCAAGCTTGTGTGTCTATTGGATGATAGTTGTAAAACTGTATTTCCTTTGAGATGCTGTTTTCTCTGCCTCACAGGGACACTGACACTGCAGTATGGGATTGGTCCCTAGAGAGCATGGTTACGGACTGCTTTCCATACCTCTTCACTCCCCCAAAACGGAAATGGTCGTAACCTACCGGTCCATCACCTCATCCACTTCCCAGGACAGAAAAGCAGATGGCCACTTTTCGGCCACCTATGTAAAATCTGCTTTCCGGTATCACACAAGCAGAAAAGTTGAATTCACGGTTGTCCTCAAAATGTTCGATCTAAATTTCTGCCTGCTCGAAAGAAGAAAAGCAGATGGCCGCTTTTCGGCCGCCAGCGAATGAAGAAAAAGTAAAATCTGCTTTTCTTGAAGCAGAAAAATAGAAAAATGCATAACTAAACAATGTTCGTTCTGCTTTTTGAGGTGGCAGAAAAGTAGAAAAGTCGAAATTGCATGTTACCAGAACATAAAATCTGCTTTTCTACCATTCTGATAGCAGAAAAGCAGATGGCCACTTTTCGTCCTCCGTATGGAAATGCAACACTCATTGATTCCATTAATTTAAAACGAAGATCAGTGACAGAAGAGGGGGGCCTTCATTTCTTGAAGACTAATCTCTTCTCAAAACGGTACCCTGAGACTTTTATGTAATAAAATATTGTAGTCAGGGGCCTACGGCCGCTTTTATTTCACTGTACGCGCTGAAAACGCACACTAGTTATGAGTTTGGCCGTACTGTCTGACTGTGAATATCACCCCAGGCAACTCACTGAAACTTGAAGACACAGAAGAAAATCAAATTTGTACATGTTTGTGTATGCCACGCAAACAACAAAAAAATCCGAGAAAACGGCGCCGCGTACTGAGGGTCGCAGGCCAGTAAATGCAAGTTTTTTTTCAAGTATCCGGATTCCGGTTCGTACGTGTAAGTTTAAACCACGCCCAGCACTGGAATCCACAGAGCTTTAAAATTTGAGACCTGAAGTTAACGCGCAGCATAGGAGCTTGCAATCAGTGGTGTGTCCGCGCATACAATCCAAAGTAACATTCTACTGAAGTCCGCCGAGGCGCTTGCATTATAAAATATGTGCATTTCCAATGGCAATTTCATAATTATACACTAGAATGCGGATGGATTTTGAAGGCACGCACTCTCCCGTGGACATCTGTGTAAATTCGAACGCTGACCAGCAAAACTCACGAGTGAATTAGTGGACTGCACCCTATGGTTACAGGCCACTAAATAAGCCCAAAATTGGCCTGCGCGAACTGAATCACGATTTGTAATAGGCTGGTTAAACTCAGGCAACTTTTAGAGCACGTCGGCACATGGACTGGATGGTTTGTATACGAGGATGGAATCGACTGCTATAACTTGTATTTGTGAAAAGTATGGCGGTTTGGCCGTTGTCCTTTTCATTTCTCTTTTTTATCCATAGAGCTATTGGCCTGTATAAAAATTAGAGTGCTGACTTATGTACCAAATGATGCCTGCTGGACGCATCCATGTTTGTGCACAAACGTATGAAAAATTCGAAATTTTGTACGGTTTTTGTACGGCTGTTGGTTTATCTGCGTCTGAACGCACAATGAGCGTTTCACTTTGCTCTGCGCTAAAAAAAGCAAACACGTGCCGCATGCACATGAATTTTGCCGTGATGGTGCTACCACAAAACTTTGATTTTGACATGTATTTGATATGTAAAAATACTGTCGTACAAATTATTATTGGTAAAGTTTCAAAATTTTCAAAGAAGTGTTATGTCAGTATGAACAAATTAAAACTTTTAATTTAAACACCTGTTCATTTTTTGTAACCAACTTGACCCTCCAACACATCAATTTAAGTGCTCAGGTAAACTAAAGAAGCTTGGTTTAAATTGTGCTTCCTTGCTTTCTTGCCCTAAAACACCAACAAACCAAGAGGAAAATGCTTTTAATGATCAAAATAGTTCTGGTTTATTTCTATTTAAGAGCAGTCTACCACACAGCATGCATACCCCCCTGTCTAACCAAGAACTATAACTTCATCAGCACGGGCACTTATCCCAACAATGATAGTTTATTGGTTTCAAAAACAAGAGATTGCGTTCTCATAAGTTCGCAGGGGCGTATCCCCCAATCCCCGCTTTTCACGTTTCACATGTACATGGAACAAAGGGTAGAGCGCTCAACAGACGAGCGCTGCGGGGCAAAGTCAACTTGTGGAGAGTCTACTACATGTGCGTGATTATTTAGCTAGAGGATAAAAGTAGTGACGAAAGCAAAGCTTTGAAAGCAACATTGGGTCATTAGTATTATTATTATATATTTTTGGTAATGACACAAGGATTCCTCAAAAGCTAATGCGTTTGAACTTACCAAATCTGAACGGGAATACCCATCGTATTCCAGGGACATCCACGCATTCAAGTTATTGAGGTCGAGTTTCCGACCAGACCAAAGAAGAATAAACAAACCGAAGAACAAAGCCGCGTGAGGCGTAAATTTTCCACTTAGTAGTTCATAGTTCATCCGTCAAGTGAGTTTTGCTTATTTACACGATAAATCAAAATTCCTGATCTGAACTATCATACCAAATAACGTTGCACTGGATTGTATTAGGACTTTATAACACCTCACCCACAGATTCTGCATCTTGATTGGCCGAATTGTGTGTCATCATCTGACTCTAGCTAGTTTTACTGTTTTTCTACCACCATTCAAAAAAGAACATGCACGTGCAGCCTCGCTTTAAAAAAGAATTAATTCCGTAGCAACCAAAGAACTATATCCATACGACAAACTTATAGCTACACGTTGAATAGGTTAATAATAACGTTTTAAAACTAAAATTATAGTTTAATTTGTAATTTGTCCTCCTTGTTTTTATCTTGGTCGTATAATTTTAAATATTGTGCGCATACCTTATGATATTTAACGCTAACTTCAACTCTTTGTTACCCCTATTTATATTGTATCTTTTTGTATCAATTGCAATTTGTCTATCCGGGGAGTGGTTTAAACGGGCTCGTAGTCTTTCCCGAAATCCTTGGCATGGGCAGAAATTGGTGAATAAAAAAGATAACAAATACATGCCTGTCCAACCATCGCACGTACGTAAACACGGGTGCGTGTATCGACCATGGAGTTGGATATAATGCTTCATAGATATTATATCTAACTGTATGGTGTAGACACATCATATACAGCCTTCCCTTGGCCCTTGGCCCTTGGCCCAACCTCACCCTTGACTGTGGTGCAACCGTGTCCAAGATCTCCATGGACGGTGAACGAGCGCGGAGCCCAACAATTTTCAAACGTGTACGCATGGTGGGTCGGCCCGACGGAGGCACGCTTCCTGTACTGTGACCTGAGGCGTATGTACGTGGATGTACAGTACGTAAAACAGTCGGACAGATCTGCACGAGATATGTACCAGACACATAAAAAGAAAGAGTTGCGGCAGGTGTCGCGGGCGCTCCCAACATGAGCATCGCGGGGGTGGGGGTGGGGGGGTCAAGCGGCGTATCATTACCCCTCCCCCGAGGGGTGCAAGAATTTTTTTTAACGACAAAAGGAGTTAAATTCAGCCATGCAATTGCTTAATTAAAAACCTTTAAAAAATGACGCCCTCCCACTGATGATGGGTTTATCATTTTGGATCTGATAAATGCTTTTTGCCCAGCCGAGAAATCTCTCGCAAAGAAGCAGTTTACCCCTACCCATCTTCGCCCAGGAAAAAGTTTCTGGCGACGCCTCCATGGTCATCAAAATAGTCCACAGCCTAAGTCCACAGGAGTCCATTGTTCGGGGCAAGAGACGCGTCTCCCATTTAAGGGATGGATATCACGTCATATTTCGTCCACTTTTCTTCTGTCTCTGAGTAAAAACTTGTTTGGCTACTTCATTCAAATTGATTTCTTTTTAGTGCAAAGTTTTATGAAGCAGTATGATCCATAGCTCCATTCCTTAAAAACCGCTAAAAACTATACCTACTACACAAGGACATCACATGTTGTTTAAAAAGCAGGCTTTCCTTAGGCAGTGACTGGGGTGGGACAAGATTCACTGAGCCCCCATTGGCTTATTTGAGACGGTGCTATTTGGTTGCGGTAAAATCTTCAATGTTTATTACTCCAAGGCTGAGATGGGGTGGCTTGTTCTCGTACGTTCCTGAACAGCTCGATTTGTTCTTCGTGGGTCGATCGCTCAAACGTTGGTTAACCTGGTGGTTAGTGGCGGCGCCCATGTATGTTCTTCAATGGTTAATTTTTGGATAATGGGGCTGAATTCTTGTCTGTTTAAAAATTGTGTTATGATTCCAGAAGATTATTAATGTTAACTTGCAAAACTTTATATTGTCTTCAGCCTTTGTAAGCCATCTCACTGTTTTTTTGTGCAAGGCTGTTCAAAAATCTAAAGATCACTACTTTTTCCGTGTGTTCTTGTAAAATCATTTTTCATCTAATGTTTTTTATTCTTGAAGGTTGAAAATGGTATTTGGCGCGCTTCCGGAACCTTTGGATAGGAAAAATAACGTGCAAAGATTTTAGCATTTGTAATATTTTTTCGTTCAGTTTCTTCTTAAAAAATCAATCTTGGAAGAAGGGCTTTGAAAAGTATTTGCTAATATATCAATTTATAGAAACTGAAAAATTACCTGATCTAAAAGAAAAATATCCTGCCAAAATTTGACCCATCACCTCCAAAAATCGCATATACATGAAGAACAGTGCAATGCGGCAGTAGTCTTGCAAGCAGATGAACATTTACGGTTTGAAATTTTATGGTAGTCTGTGGGTGAAAGCCGAACTAAACACAGAACAAAATATTTTACACACTCTGATAATTTATAAGGTAGTAAACATAAAGCAATATTCTACTTTTTCGAAAGATTCTAATATTTTATCTTTGCTGACTACAACTGCGTGATGTAAACTCAACGGAATCTAGAACCCATCGACTGCAGGTAGGTAAATCTTTGCGACGTTGTACAATCTCGTTTTCAAGAAAGCACGGCGAGTGAAAACAAACGTGCATGAACAAGGAGACCTAGTACCTAGGTACGATATCGCTGAACGTCAAAGGTCGTTAAGAAAATTAGTTTTTTTACCCATCCCCCGGGTGACTTTTCCAAAATATTACTTGAGGAAGACAAAGGTAAAATTTCAACATGAGGGTTTTGTGGGGTGGTTTCAGTATGGAATTATTCTTCCCAAAATTATCAAACGTGAAAGGACGTAAAAATCTCCATAGGCAGACCGCGCAAGGGTGCCGGAAGCTCGCTGCGTGACCTTTTACTTTCAAGCTCTATACAGGGACTCCCGACCTGAGCAGAAACCAAAGATCGTATAGCGCTGCGTAGTACACGATCTTTGGCAGAAACAGAGATGTTAACTTTTTGGTCAACTTGTAAAGGGCTCTTGAACAATGCGGGCGTTTCACTATGGTAGGCCTCCAAGAGTTTGGCAACGCGTTGGCCAATCACAATGCGCGAAATCTGTCGACCCAATGCGCGCGCGTTTGGAAATGGTCAACAAATTTCGCGCGTTGTGATTGGCCAACGTGTTGCAAACTCTTGGAGGCGCACTATTGTGAATCGCCCGTATTAGTTCTGGATAAGCCCAGGAGGTTGACCATAGCATGCAACAGTTGGTCCCTTTTAACACATGCACCCCTCTTCACTGCATACTTTAACGATTTGAGCCATCTAAATTTTACGCTTACATGGAACTTTTACCGAGGTACTTTCCATAATGTGCAGATGGGTGCTGTTCTTTGCCTCGTAATTCCATAGCAAAAGCATTGAGCAAGTCTAGGTTTGAACACTGTGTGTGCAGCTGAATGCGTGACGTCATCAATCCAAGATGGCAGCTCAGTAATGTGTTGGAAGTTCGGGTGTTACAGTACAAATTACAATTCGAGGCCTTGTGCTGGATCAAACTCTGCTTCTTCTCGTCTGCACCCACCCAAACAAAACTTTGAATGATACAAAGGGCATATGAGCTATGAGACTGAGTGAAATCGGCCATGGATGGATCTTTTTTGAACCCCACGGAACAGCAGTATTATTCCTCGTTGTTCAGCACGCTGGACCATGAGAACGCTGGCCGCGTGAAGACGACGGAAGCGCAAGAGTTCTTTCTTTTGTCAAAGCTGACACCGGACGTTTTGCAGCAGGTAAATTACCTGTGGAGAAATTAATTCCCTCTGTATACACTTTAAAACTGAACTCGTTTTGATTTCAGCATCTACCTGGACGTTCAAAACTTCAAGTTCAAGATGGGTATGACGACCGTGATGACGGGCATGATTAAAAGAAAGATTCTGGTTGCCACTAAGCACTAGACACCCTGTGTGCATTGCGTGCACAAACCCTATGAGTATATAAGACTGGTCTTAAAAAGTTTAGGTGTTTTCTAAGTGAATACCTGGCCTAGGCCTATATTTTAATGACATATTGGGTATATCATTGTATGTGTTGCTAGGTCACAGCAGGGAGAAATAAATGGCATCCAGGTACGGTCATGACGGTGTAGCTACCCCAGAACTGTGGGGTCCAACGTCCGCTCCGCTCCAATGAGCGTGGGAGTGGAGTGGACGTGGGACCCCACAGGCCACAGTTCTGGGGGTAGCCTAAGCAGGCTATGCAATTCGTTTCATAACTTACTTAGGCCTAGTTGGTGGTTGTCCTCTTGATACTCTACTCGGAAGTCTCATCACAAAGAGACCATGGAGAGTGGCTTACTTTGAAATTAGTTGTTTAAATTTGTAGTGGTTGAAGGTAGGCTCCCCTATCAATGGTACATGTATCCAGAGGGAGTTTATTCCATTTTTGAACAGTCCTTGGTAAAAAGGATCAGGAGTTCATATAGCTGTTAGTTTTAGCTGCAATTTCAAAGAGTTGTGAGTTATTTCCTCTACAAGATCTAGATATCTTTGGTAAACAGGCATCTAGTCTAATTGGTACTTTTAACTATTTTGTAGAGATTGGTGAGCTGATTTATTTCCCTTCTATCTTCAAGGGTTTGCCAGTCTGTGAGCATATCAATCACGCTGCTCTTCCTTGAGTAGTTGTTGCACACAAAGCCTGTAGCATGTACATGTATCTGTACACTTTCCAGTAAATTGACGTCTTTCTTGGTGTATGGACTCCACGCTCTGCTACCATATTCCAAATGAGGTCTGACTAACCCTAACTTTCCCTAACCACACAGAATTCAACACCAGTAAAGTGTGTGAGTTGTGGCATTGGGTACTGGTAGCTTACTATCTGGTATTGAATTTTGTGTGAATGGGAACTGTGGGCCTTCACATACCCTGTTGAATTTTGTGTGAATGGGTACTGTGGGCCTGCCATACCCTGTTGAATTTTGTCTGAATGGGTACTGTGGCCCTCTCACTTTTTACCAGCATTTAATACCATCAAGAATTTCAAATGAGTACTGTATTTTTAAAGATTATGTAATGAAATGAATGACAGAAAGCTTCCCATTGAAATGGTAAGTATGTAATATTATAAGAAAGACAATCTTAATTGTTTCTGACCACAATGATCCCAGCAGCTGGGGATAGATATGCAGCATGATGGTGTGTGAATTTGTTTGAATAGGTACTGCCTGTCCATACTCTTTGTACTGTGCAGTGGGCCTGCTGTACCCAATCAAACAAAATCACACAGGTGAATACCTGTTGGAGTTTGTGTGATTGGGTACTGTTGCAGCAGATGTTACTGTTGAAGTCTGTGGGATTGGGTACTGTGAGGTGAATGTTTTCCAACATGTCCAAGGTGTTGAAGTTAATGTGATTGGGGAAAGTTAGGTCCAGCAACCCTTGGGTGGTTAGGGCTAAGGTTGAATAGAGCTTTTCCATTTGGATGCTGAGTAAAAATTCCTTGTAACCCTAACCTTCCCCACCACACAGAATTAAAAAAGTAGTAAGGTGTTTAATTCTGTGGGGATAGGTCTGGTAGGCCAGACAGCTGGCTTATGCATTGGGTTTGGCATACCTCAGAAAAACAAAGTCCAACAGCCTCTGTGCACAGAGTCCCATATGGGTGTTTAACTTTGTGTGAATGGGGAAGGTTAGGTCCAGCAACCCTCGGGGAGTTAGGGTTAATAAAATAACGTTAAGGATGTCAGTGGCCTTTGTTGCAGCATGCACAGTTTCGCTCTTCCAGCTTAGATTATTTTGAATAATAATGCCAAGGTAAGTGATTGCTGTTTTCTCTTCAAGAGTGACACCTTAATGTTGTACTTTGTATTGGCAGGATTCCTCTCTTTGGAAATGGAGGTACACTTGTTGAGATTAAATTTCATGCCTCATGTTTTCGCCCACTCAGTCAAACTGTCAAGATTTTTCTGAAATAATTGCTTATCTCCTGGTGATTGGATTTTTCAATAAACCATGCAATCATCAGCAAAAAGGTGTGTTGTTCCTTCCACTGCTTTACTTATATCATTTATAAACAAAAGGAACAGATGAGGTCCTAATACAGTACCCTATGGCACACCATTTTCCAACATACACCATATCTATAGATGAATTTCCATTGACAACAACCCTTTGAGATCTGACAAAAATGACTTGATCCAACCTTGCATATTACCACCTACTCTGTAGAAATCAAGCTTCCGCATTCATTTCTGATGAGGTGTTATGTCAGATGCTTTTGAAAGATCAAGAACAACTATCTGTTTTAATCTGGTTGTCATAGTTTACTGCGAGGTCCTCCAGTGTTGTGACCAGTTGAGATTCGCATGACAAACCCTTGCGAAGAACATGCCGGTTAGGATTCAGAATATTGCCCTCCTCAATATGCGGCCTGAGTTGACTACATGTATCTATGATGTGTTCCAGTAATTTACAGAGTAACTGATGTTAATGAAACAGGTCTATAATTTGCTGGGGCAGATAGAGAAGCTTTCTCAGAAAGTGGAGTCACGTTAACCTTTTTCCAATCTAGAGGCAAAATTCTTGTGTCAAGCGATTGCTGGAAAGTAATTGTGAGAATTGGAGCAATGGTGTCGGCAGCAGGTTTGAGTGCTTTATTTGGTAGATGATTGGGACCGACAACTTAATTTGTGGTAAGCTTTCTGAGGAATTTAGTGACACCATTTACATGTACAGATAGTATAGATAATATTATTATTTCCTAATATTAGGTATTTAAGAACAAAACACTTGCCGTGTCGCAAATACCACAAATACAGGTACATCACAAAGTGCTGCTCAGTGAAATATTGATCTTTATTTGTCATCTCACTACTCCCATTCGTTTACCATGTGCACTGATTCACTCCCGATCATTGAACGGGCCATAAACGCATCAGGATCTTTTGGTGTGTTATATCTGGGAACCAGACTGAAATAACTCTTACATGTAGATCTCAATGGCTGTTTTATCAATACATGTATTCATGTACACGTACATGTGTACTTTACTCCCAACGTGTACATGTACATCATGTAGGGTTCGCTATCATTTAATGTTCTTTATGATCTTCATTCTTTTTGGATCTGTGTGTTGTCTATCGCTGTCTGGCCCCCTGCCCCAAAAGAATCCGACTTTATTTCCTGTTCAGTGAGTAGAAGTGAATCAGCGTACATGTAGGAAATGAATGACGGCATTGAGACGACAAAGTAGAGGCCAGAATTCCGTGAACAGGAACATTTGGGGAATTGAAATTTGGGCAAATTAACGACCTGCTTCTGTGGATGAAGCTGTATGAGAAAAACTGGGCTCATAAGAAACTTTTTGCAAAGCGTAGGCCCGTTGCCTGTTTTTGTTTCCCTAATTAGGGCATAGGGCCAAGAATACGGGGGTAGTCCAGTGGACTGGCCGTCGCATGGGGCTAGCCAATGCCTGTTGGATTGATTTCAATTGAGCCCAGACATGGTAAATGTACGTGTGCCACATGTAGGTCTACTTTTGTAAAGTGTACTTGTGACTGGGCCACGTGAACATCCTACACCTGATGATGTACACCATATACATGTATCAGCCAGTGGGAAATGTGTCTACTATTTAGTTTCATTATAATTCAGAAATACTAACGGGCAGAAGGGCCATGGCCTTCCATCATGTCCATATTATGAACCTGGATCTACTCTTTAAGTGTGGGTCCCTTCTGGCATGTCTGTATAAAACATACGAAGGATTGCTGGTTTTCAAATTGGACATGCACGTACATGTAGCACTTAACTGTACATGTACATACTGTAAATACATGTACAATGTACATGCATGTCCCAGTATTTACAATCACATGTACATGTACATGTACCCCACCTGTACATGTATGTGGTCCTCTGTTGTACTCTGTTGAGGACTGCACTTTTTTCAGTCCTATTTGTACTACACATGTACATTTGTTAGTACACATTATAATTACTGGACCCAGACATGTCAAAAATTACAAGGATTGAAATTGAAAACACAAAAAACAAAAACACATGGAAACTAAACAATGCCATTGTTTAGTTCATTAATACCAGTCATGCCTGTGTCACTTGAGCACCTCCTGCCCTGATGCTCATAACAGCTGGAAATTTGCAATTGTTAAGTGCTGGAGCTACATGTACATGTATGTACATGTACATGTGTACATGTACTGTACATCTACTTGTATTTAATCCAATACAGGAACATGCACTGTACTACAAATGTACAGGGTACTGCATTGCAGTTATTGCTCATAACAAACATGTACATTTACATTTAAATGGCAAATATTTTCATAGTGTATGCTTTATTAAAGCTGTTGTATTGCATTTACATGTAAGTGTGAAGATTGCAAACATCCGACGAATACAAAAGGGAATGTGCCAGACTTCATATGAGTCTGTATTTCATGTGACCCCAGAGAGTGTTTAAGAACAGCCATTCCACTCAGACTGCACAACTTCTTGTCACAATTTTCAACTAGAATCATGAGAGTGAGATGGATACATGTAACTGATGAGATGATGAGGATTTATTGGGGTTTCTTTGATGTACTGTACATGTACATGTACATACACGAACAATGCTGTATCCTTATTGAATGACGGTATATTGTGCGTAATCTGTGCTGCACACGTACATGTACATGTACATACATGTACATGTACAAATTTGTATACATGTGCATTGCCACTCACTTCATTTACATGAAGACCACAGTGTAAAAAAAGGTGTGATCCTTGGTTTCAAGGTACTGGTATTGTGAGTTCACAACTACTAGCCTCAAGCTCGTATCATGAGTCACTCAGAGATAAACTTTGTGGTGCTCTGATCAGTAGGAGAGTGAACCTGTGTTTCATCACTGCCATGAGAGCTCAGGGTACTCAATATACTCTGCAGTGTATTTACTCCACAAGATGTACATGTACATGTATGTATAGTGTATGTGAACCTGTCCATTTTACTCTATCAGGACATGTACATGTATACATGTATGTACATGTACATACATGAGTTAATGCAGTTTTCTTGGTTACTGTCTACAAAAGCTATGCATAAAGTATACTACATGTACATGTCATGTAATGAACATGTACTTGTGCATGTATGGGCACTACTTCACACAAAAGTATTGAACTTTTATACACAAATCTTTATTATTCCCATCACAAAATCGCACATTATACCGTGTGCATGGATGCAAGACACACAGGTTCTCAAGAGCTCTTTAATTGTCAGTGATAAATTGAATAACTTTTCATACGTCATCTGCTTTGTTATTTCAGGTGATTGAAATCTGTGGAGCGAATCGTCTGGGCCACTTTGGGCGGAGTCAATTCTACATTGCACTCAAGTTGATAGCAATGGCACAGAATGCCATACCATTGCCTGTGTCGAAGGAGATGATTGGACAAGGTGGGTCAGCAATTAGGCCTACAATAAACTGATTCATAAGCAAAATCAGAGTCAAATCACAAGGCATGTCATAAGTAAAAGGACAAGCAGTCATTATAGAATATGTTGCTACAGTGTTGGAAGCAGGAATCTCATGGAAATCCACGTATGTGTTTGAAGTCTACGTACATGTATGTACATAATGTACACGTAGAATGTCGAGTCTCAAGAGCTTGATCAACCGATTTCCTCATTTCTTTCCCAATTAATCCCATGTATGCCATTAAAAACTCTAAAGTTTTGTAGATAAATGATTGTGCAGAAGGCATGTTCTTCATCAAGTGGACCAAAACTCAACACCACAATTTTTCGAAACTTCTGAAAGACGGACTTTGGTCATTTGAAACACGAATTAGCACCTTCAGATTTATAAAAAGGATCATTTGGGGATAATTAGGCATACTGTGTACATTTGGTCGACGTTTGGTTGGCTACCAGTGTAAATCGAATGGAGTTGAACTCATTTAAAGTTTTACGTCAAAGTATTTACACCAGGTGACTTCATTTCAAAACAACTCTCAACAAGGAAAATTCAGTATATTTTTCAACTGACGTATTATAAAGCCCCCATCATGAGCCCTGAAAAAAATGGAACAAAATTGACGGAAAATAATGAGAAAGGTTTGGCTGTCTTCATTCTCTTGCCGTTTATAATCACTCTCACTACACTTTCCAGCATTCCTGCCAGGTCTCATACCTTTCAACTACCGAAAGTAATCTTTAAGTTTGGCTGCATCAAAAATTTATAACAAGTATAATATGGTGTTCATTGCGAACATCATATTTGACGGAATTTTGATAACGTTCAAGACTATTGATGGAAAATGCAGTGCCGAAAATGCTGTTACATTTTGTGACCGAAAATTCCATGCTCAGTGTTCATTTCGCAGCTTTTTTGGAGATATCCCCACTCAAACTTAAATCAGAAGTCCAGATATCAGCCACGACTCCCCTCGTTTCATCAAACATTATGAATTTATTCACTGCTTTTCACTTCAGGAAAAGTGAACCCCCAAAGTTGAACATGACTTCATGGTCCATATTTTGAGGAACCTGCCAGAACCCTTATTTTGCCCTTGATACATGTACTTGCATGCAACAGTTAACATGGAATGGTCATTTCCTCCAAACATGGATTGGACCTTACATTCATTTTTAGAAGATACACTGGGGGCATACTATATACTTACATGTACTGCGTACCAGTACCAAGTTATTGCCTGTGTCTTGGGATTTTCAAACATGTGTTCAACTCATTTTGTTGTCTGCGAGTGGTATTGTGGTCACATTTCACTTGAGCAGGTCACATTAACATACAATGTGTACATGTGTAATCCATTATCCACAAAAACTACAAGTACAATGTACATGCGCAATGTATGAATGTATGTACACAAGTATTGTATACATGTACAGGATGTTTGTACAGTGTACCTGTACATGCATGTACATGTACTGTACATGTATGCACATGTACATTTACACGTATCTAATTATCATGCCCACTGTACATGTAGAATAAAACATGGGAACATGTAGGTATGCTTTTCTATTTAATGCCATTGGCTGGATGGCAGTTGTACATTTAATAGGTTTGCCTACATGTACCGTGTACCTGTAGTAAGACCTATGAATATGTCAGGTTGTATATACATGTACCCATGTACATGTACATTTACAATCTATGTATTTGAAAGAGAGTAATACAACAAATGTACATTGACTTCTTGCAGGCATTGAAGTACCATTACCTGTATTTGGGATGAAACAAAGCAGTTCTGCCCCATCATCACAAGACCCAGGTACATGTACTGTACATTGCTTCACTTATTTTACTTTTTCCTTTGTAAAACAATTCTCTCATTTCTTTAAAGATCAATCACATTGCTTTGATGTACACGTAAAATGGTCACATAACAGGGAATTGGTCACTGTTACCCATCATGACTAAAGTGGCAGCTTCTCTTGGCATTTACAATGTTTTAAAAAATAATCATCGTTTTGGGAGTTCCGTTCCACCACGAGAGTGCTCAGAGTAAAACATGTGGAAATGAGGGCAGCAAACAAATCTAGCAATTTGATGATGTCATAATACTGCTCTCGGCCCCCAGAGTTTCTTGACCTTGCGGCAGTAATAGGAGGCTTTATAGCACAAGAACAGAGAAAAAAATGGATAAAGTACATTTTAGTAAGATGTCATTCTTGGCAAATGACTATGGCAATGTGCCTGAAATTCATCAGGACCTTACCCCGGTACAAATTGGGACGGTTCAACTCTATCATACGATCCAGTGTTGATCAACACTGTTGATGGAAATGCAATTCCAAGTCACTCTCACTGTCCGACCTCTTGTAATTCACAGTTAAGTACGAGCAAGCAAAGTACTCATGCATGCGGGTGACGCATTCACCTTGAAATCATGAAGCAGTTGTATAATTGCAGAGCCATAGTCTGACGTCATCAAAACAGGCTTCTATTGGATGCTCCCAACAACTTTTGGTTTCAGTTTGCTTGATATGAAGGAGGACATCAACTCGTGCTTTTGATGTCAGTAGCAATTTTTATTCAGTTTTTATGTAATAGATTGTTTTAAATACATGTACATATATAACTAATTTCAGAAAAAGTGAAATTGTGAATTACCAATGTGATTGATCTTTAAGTATTTGTGTGTTGTTTGCGCAGATTTGAATTTTTAATATTTGGTTTAACATGTGCATGCATTGTAGGGCAAGCCCAGACCATTTTTGTGGAATGGTACAGGACATCATATCAAATCAATTAACTAAAAACATGTACACTGAAGGTCTGCTGTGACATGCATTTCATGTTTGGAATGCTTACTGAGTTTTTACATCACTTAGTGCATTGATAAGCATGCATATGTAGATTAACAAGGGATAATTGTTCACTTGATGTTTATGCTAAGCTTATCAAGACCCTAGGGAGTATTGCAGTGTCACAGTACAAGCAGAGGTTCTGTGTATGCTGATGTGAAGATTTTGATACTTTGATGTCTCATACCTGACTGCAGTAAAATACATGCACATGCAGCGTGGACTCACTCTGCAAAAAGGGCTGATTTCGTACACATTTAACCTTCCCTGTTTCTTTTTGCCTCAGATGATCCTGGCCAGATGGAGTTTGTTAATCCAGCATTCATCGATAATGTTCCTGATCGTGGCTTTGCTCTGTCAGGCAAACATCCACCCACAGACTGGTAATACACATGTACAAGCCTGTACAGGCAATAACACGCTTCCGTGCACAGCTCTAAATAGATGCTACATGTACATGTGTTTAACAAACCATTTCATCCTGAATGCTCATTACTGTAATCTGAACTGCTTCCACAATTCTTACGTCCAACGCTACTCCCTTATTCCATGCACAGCTGTCCAGTCAACTCACGTCAATGTTATAAAAGTATTGGAAAAGCAAAGGTAAACAAAAGATTTCATACCAAAGAACACTATAATGAGGCCAACATCAAGCTATTCTATTCACAGCGATGACGCATGGCTCTAAAATATTTCACTTTTGAAGTCTTGACAACCCGTCCCAACCCCCTCTCCCCTCGGTCATATTATGAGATGTGGTAGTCATCTAGAAATGCTTTGTGTTTGTCAGCTGGCACCAGTCTTATTTACTACAGATGTCAGCCATCTTCAAAGTGCTGCAGCTGATAAATGGGCGCATAGTTACAGATGTCCACCCTTGGACCAGAAATAGATATTTGGGGGCACACATATACATTGTAAATATTGGGGGAGCCCTGTTTTGTGAAATGCTCTTATGGTGCATTATTGCCAACAATGGATCCAATAGATCAGTCAGATTATACAAAGATGTACACATGTACGTGCATGTGTACATGTACAGTTAATAATGAATACAAGGTTCATACAGTATTTGCAGTGGTGGGTGTAGTACCATTTCCATGCTGCAATGGTCTCTATAATGGGTTCAGACATGTCAGCCTTTCTGAATGAACTGCGGTATTTAATCAACCCTTTGACATCTTCAGCTTATAAAGTAGCACATTTTTGAGCTTCAGTCTCAGAAAGTTTGTTCAGTACATGTACATTGTAGGTATTATTCTTGGCTGGTTGCTGTATGCTGGAAAGTGAGATGAGTTTGGATGTGAAGTGGGTCATTCCTTGAGGTTGGGGCACAATTTGTGACGGTGTCCATTGTTACGTGGGTTCCGTAAAAACGAACAGCTATTTCCCTGCATGTGGATTCCAAATAATACATCTTACATGGCTGAAAACAGAGGTGTGTGTCATTTTTACAGAGTAAATGACCTACTCTATTGGTCATGACAGACGGTAAATGTTACCCATGTAACAAGGACACCGTCACAAATTGTGCCCCAACCTCATGGAATGACCCAAATACATGTACATGTATGTTGAAACAGTAAGACTTTCACACACAGTTTGGATTCAATGAATAAAATACCGCCCCCAGCGGTACATGTGGATGTTGGTAGCACCGACCTGCATTATTACCTACAAGACATAAACACTTGGTACTACAACACTGTTTGAGTGGGCTGGGAGAGGTGAATTTGTTCTTACCGGGTAACATTCGGACGACGTTTTCTGCTACTCAAAAAATGTGATTATTGTTTGTTCAAACCTAGTAGTGTTGTAAACACACAGCAGATCCCACTATCACCAACAAATGAGTTGATTTAAAAAAAAGAAAAGAAACATGCATGTGTTGTCTTGTTTGGCAGGAATGTGGGTCAGGTGATCGGCATGGTAGGGCCCCAGGCCAGCCCTAGAGGACCTGTCGTATTCCCTCAAGTGGAACAAGTACCAACAATGTCTCCAACACGGCCCTCAAATGTACATGTACCCCCAAACGTGAGTATGAACTAAATACCTATTTGTTGGGGGGGGGAGGCTCGACTATGTATGTACTTGCAAGCAAGTTAAGTTGTCACTAAACAAGTGGCTTCTAGAATAGGTACATGTACAGTAGTTTCATTTACGTACATGAACATGTAGCATATATCCAAGGAAAGACTGGTCATAGTTCAGATTACATGTATATACATTCATAGGCTCAATCACCCTTGACATCCATACATACATGTAAGGAGTGACAACCAGGTCACTAAAAAGGCACTAGAAATCCGCCACCTGGTCATGTTCCTGTACTATCGCCAATTTCATATTGGGACGTTTTGAGGCATTCCTGGTTCCTCCTCAGGTATACTTTGGTCTGCAACTCACATCCTATCTCCTGTTTTTTGTTTGGTAGCCTTTTGAGGAGGGTTTCGGTCTTCTATCTCAGCCATGATGGTCGGGGAAGGAATTGCAGCTAAACTTTGTCATTGTTTATGTCACATTTCCCCAGTTAGCACCTGCAATCTGACCACGTCAACTTACAATGCCAATTTTAGGCCACTTTAGTAGTGTTTCATCCAGGTTACTAAGTAACAGTATCTTGGTCCTTTGCTACCACCCCACTTTACACGGACATGTATATTCAATGTGCAGATTGCTGGCTCACCGCCCCCATCCTCACCTCGTGACTCCTCCCCCTTCAGTGAGACGCCAGCCATCATCTCCCCTCCCCACCCCGTGGGGCTAGAGCGTCATCAGAGTTTACCATCCCCCATCAGTCCCAGGGAACATCGTCCCATGTTTGACAAGCAGGGCAGTGTTCCTGGGTATGGTCCTGTGACTGACGAAGGGTGGGCATCCTTTGAAAAAGACAGACAAGGTACATGCATGCATGCTTCAAATTTGTGTTGAATTGTTTGTTTGTGCACAAACTATGGAAACTTGAAATTTAGTATGGCTATTTTCATAACTGCCTCTGGTTTCTAAAATAATGCATCATCAAAGCTGATATAGTGGATGTTTAAAAAGGCATTTTGTCTTGCCTTTTGTATACGGTTCAATCCCATAAGCATAGCCCTGCAGATAAAGTTTGCTTAGGCTGTTAAATGCATCTTGCTTCTGATAAAAAATGTGCTTTTGCATATGGTGTACATGTACATGTACTTCCCCGCTGCATTTAGAATACATAATTTAGAATTTGTTTCACCTTACTTCCTTGTGTTTTACAAACATGCACAGACCTTCAAAGTGTTTGCGTTCAGGACATCATCAAAGTTTCTCTGTGCAGGAATTGCGTTGACAATGCTCAAGTGTAATTTCTCATGATGAACACGATGAATATGCATGATTTCAACAGATCCTCAGTTGTGATTTAATAGTTGAAACCATAGGCATTTTACTAAATTGAAACGAATGTGTTTGATGGAATTTTGGCACAGATGTTACATGATTTAGCAAACTCTTCGCTCATTAAAACTGTTTGATTTTGAGAAACTGATCTTTGAATTGGGTCATTAATCATTTTGGACTGGAGGTCATCAAAAAAGGTAAAACCAGCTTTAGAAAAGAACTTATCTCGGCCATCTTGCAGTGGAGGAAATCTTAAACATGGTTAGGTGTCATCTGGAGTACACTGTAGCCCTGATGCACAACAATCATTCTAGTGGAGAGTCCTTGGTTCCTCTAGTTTAGACACAAGTACATGTTCATGTTTTGTTCATTGTTGGCCCATAATTATACCCTCCTACTTTTGAGCCTGAAAAGTTCTCTTCGTCTCACTCGTCCAGCACTATTGAGCATGAACATTCTGTATGTGTCTACCTTCCCATAACTTCCAGTTTCTCACTTCGTCATGTGGATCTTGAAAGACTTTGACAGCTCTGACATACTGTGTACATTACCCAGGGAGCGTTACCAACGGGAAAGCACTCCAAGATAGTTACTGTGCAAAACATCCATTTCCTCAGCATTGATTTTGAAGGGATTGACAGAAACATCAGCACATGTACATAGCCAACTTGCTGTATAATGTATTAACCTTTTTAATCTTTAGGGGAGATACAAGCAACACAGCCAACACAGTCCCTAGACAATTCCCTGAACAACACCCAAGACACATCCTGGGCCAAGTTCCCTGATAGCCATGGGGAATCAGGTTCCCATGGTAACCCCTCAGTGCATGATGGGACTGAGGATGTTTGGTTGATAACTCCAGAGCAGCGAGTGTATTACACCAAACAGTTTATGACGTTACAACCGGACCCTAATGGTCTCTTATCAGGTAACTCGGCACGATTTTGAGTAAAGTTTCAAAATTTGGTTCATTCAAAAATTCATAGAAGCATAGGCCATTGAGGGAAATCAGGTTGGCGATGTGGTTACTTTTCTCACCTTCTACTCAAACTTGAATACTGCCCAAGCCAACACGTGGACTACGTTTTCAGTCCCTACCTAAATCTGTGGATTTGCCTAAGAATACTTGTCCTGGGATTTCTTTTCCTCCTACCTCTAAAGCTGGACACTTCGTATTTATCCTCTTCCCCAGGGCTCTTGGGGAACATTTAGCATGTAATTGATAGGATAATTAATAAAATGATAAGTAAACTGAATAAAAGGTTTACGTAACTTTCTTCATTGGCTGTCCATCCTGGTTACCTTGTGTCAAACTTGGCTATCAATTTGGAAGCTATTGGTTGTAACGCTGATCACTGAATGTAAACTGCTCATTTATTTTTTCAGGTGCTGATTCTAAAGAATTCTTTGAAAAGTCCAAGTTACCAACGGCAGAGCTGTCAAAAATATGGTGAGAATCTTTTCTGTTAGAAACTTCATCAGCTGGGTTGAGTAAATGCTGCAGTTGAATCCAATAAGAAGAAGAGGCGTGGTCTCAAATGGAAATATTGCCGGGCTGAAAAGTGGGAGGAAGGAAACCAATATGAGGATGTAACTTGTGGACTTGTCAGAAATGTCAGAAAAAAATTCTTGGTTTGGAGTAATTGTTATTTGCTATTGAACAGGGCATTTGTAGGGAAAAAAAGGGATAATCTTTTCCCTTCTTGTTAAGTGTGGAGGTCGAGAGGATGTACAGATGCATGTAAGGTAGACAATACTTGCCTGTCCTACATTTTGATTCGTAGGACATTTTGTCTTGCAGCTAGAAGAGCTTAAGCTTTTTACATTTGTTGACCACAGTTTTTACAACTGGTGTTATTAAAGATTGGTCTCAAATTCAAATCTGGGCTCTTTTTCCAAGGCTGCAGGCCTGGCTGAAATACTCAGCATCAATAGATTGTGTCTGTCAGGCTATAGTGGCCACCAGGAAGTAATTCGTGTGGGTGTAAACGTCCATTAATTCAAACGATGATTTTTTGAAGAATTTTGAAAACTGAAAATCTTGAAAAAGCCCTGATTATGTGCTCTGCATTTTTCATACCACCCGTCAGCAAAGTGGTTAAAGTGTTGAACCGAAAGGTTAGAAATCAGTCTTCCATCTGCAAAGTTAATGAAAAGAAGTGTGACAGACTTGTTACCACAATCCGCATCAACTGTGTTTGGGTTGTTTCTTTAAAGGCAACTTTCTGATGTTAATAAAGACGGCACACTGTCACTAGCTGAGTTCTGTACCGCAATGCATCTCGTTGTTGCCAGAAAACACAAGGTGGAACTACCCGAGCAACTACCATCTAGTCTCATTCCAGTCATAGGGCCCAAGCAAGATGAAGGTTTGGATAGCTCATTTGCATGTGTAATTGCTCATTTGCATTTTTTATTGATGGTATATAATTACCAGTTGGACCTGTTTCTGATTGGCTGTCCAATAAGTCTGGTTGATTGAAAGATGCATAATGCATTCCATGCTGATAAGGAATAAAAGAATGGATTTCACCAAAGGTTTTGTTTTCAGCAACAAAAAGCACGTACAACACGCAACACACTGCTCTTGATCTTGAAAAAAATTGTTTGCTCGATGCATTGTATGTGAAGAGTAAAACACATCCATGCACTTCAGAAACTTACCAAATTAAGATCTGGACTCTATTACAAAGTACTTTCCAATTTGAAAGTTTATACTCTGTTACGTGTCATGGGAAAGCCAGCGAGCAACCTTTCCTCAGAAATGTTTTAAAGAGCAAATTTAGGGTTCAATATTTGAACAGGAAAATATGTAAACTGAACAGTGTCTTACCTGATTTGAATCACACCAACAACACCCTCACGTGTCTGAAAAAGCTTGGACAAAGAGTACATTTCAATACTCACAACTCCGAAAGCCTTTCAAACCGTTTCATGCGTTGAAAAAGAGTCTAAACGCACAGGAAATGAGCTGGAGAAAGATTTATTACAAGGATCTTGTAAAGGAGATTTAAAAGTTCAATGATGTACCAGATTTTTATTTGTTTACGCTTTTAAAAACTCATTAATTTGCAGTTTATATTTCTTCATATTTATCTTGCATTCAGTGCCAACCTTTTTTCCTCCAGTTTTGCATCCTCTACAATCAACCCCTGCCAGAAGTGTGACCCGCCCA